TGTTGTTCATGCTAACAGTAGTAGGTGGTAAAGAAACTTTAGAAATCGAACTTCACCTAGATGCGTAAGTGCCCTTCCTCTCATCCTTTTGGGAACGAGCTGGCCTCTGATATTCTCCGTTATTTTCCTTTTTCTTTCTTCTCTTATGCCCTATTGTCTTCTATGGAAGTGGGCGTACGGACCTGTTCCATGCGGGGAGGTTAGTTTTTAGTCAGTAGGCACACCGGGTGGAAAGGACACTACCACCAGATAAGCTGGGATGTTTATAAAGATTTTTCCCTCCCCACTCCTTCAAAAAAAAAAAGATTAAAAAAAAAAAATTTAGAAAATCCAAAATGACTATAAAAAAACCATTAGTTGTGTACTTAATTTATAATGCCAATTAAATATATGAAAACATATTACATCCCTTGACAAACATACATTAAATAATTAACACAAGTGTATATGTAAAGGCACACATCACGTTCTTAGCCATCTTCTACTAGGATCCCATAGGCAGCTGTGCCTCATTTTGGCAGCAAAATCTCAGATGTCGTTTGCCCTGGGGCTAGCTTACTGTTGTTGCATTATCGATAGTATAAAGTATCAGGGTTCGTGTGTACCACGTACCATCGGTACCATGAATAAGCTCAGGCTGCTTTTAATCACTATCATGTACAGGTACAGTCTGAGCTGCTAACTTAGGTCGCATATGAAGAAGCACGCGCACGTGTGTGTGTATGTGCACGCCAGTTCTCAGTAATTAATAGATTTTTTCGCTTATGCTACCCAGGGCACTCCGAGCGCTCTCAAAATATATAGCTAACCTATAGAAATTTATATCTTTATTGGTAGTAAGGTAAATATTTTGAAAGCGCTCAGAGCACTCCGGGTCGCATAAACAAACAAATCTAATGTGTGCGCGTGGCAAAACCCAGCAGTACAGCCAGAATAGCAATCACCTTTGAAAAAAATTTGTACACGTGACTACCAATACGGCACTGGTGTCACGAGTTTTATGACATCGTGAGCTTGCATGCCCTGGCGCCCAACGAGCACAAGGTGTTTTGATGTATTTCAATGGCAAGATGAAAACCCTTTTTTTTGTGTACCACTGAGAACAGCATCTAGTCAGCTGCTTTTACGTCCCTATCTGTTACAGCTCAAATACCAAACGCTCTATATGTAGGTTATAGGCACCAAAGCATACATATGAGCACGCGGCGTTGCGTATCTTGCACCATGTAAACACCACAAGCATATGGCAGTTTATGAGAGCTGGTGCATGCATACTCGTACCTGCACCTATAAGTGGGAAAAAAAGAGCTGGGTCGATGGCACACTATCGAACACATTACGCGACCAAAGTAAATAAACACATTTACACGCGCACGCAAACTCATGCCGTAGGGGCTGATTGCATGACTGCGGAAATATTAGAGAACCTCGCCATTTTACGATACACAAAACAGCAGTATCGACAGCTACAAAGTAGCTCTAGCAGACGTAGTGCTACGGTACGACAAATGTATACGTCAATTGATGGTGAATGAAATTGCATAGCAGATATTCTGCTTACTGACTTACACTACATGGCAACGCCGCTTCACGTGTTTATTTGCGCCATAGTAAAAAGTGTTCGAAGGGGTAAAAACAACCTTAAACCCTTAAATCTTAATACTTGTCGTTTAATGTCTACTGCATTAAAAAATACGCAAAAAATGGCGTTAGAATACGCTCTATCTCGCTGTTAAAGTACTTGCTGATCACCCTGATATATATATATANATGAAGATAAAGTGTACTTAAATATGTTTTACAACAATACGGTATTACTATCAGTGCAACTGCGGAAACCTATCTATATGGTGTCAATTTCCAAATTTTTTGATGCAAAAAAAATTTTGAGTTTAATGAGCAGAGTTAACTGGGAATTAAAAGACGTTAATATTTAACGGTCATGTTAACAAAATAGTTGCCAAATCACTAACAACCCTAAGATTTATCCAAAAATGTACACGTGATTTTACCAGACCAGAATCCACAATACATTTATTCAAGTCGCTGGTTCTGCCACAACTTACATATATCTCAATTATTTCGACACCCTATACACAAGCTCACTTTTCTACTTAATAAAGTAGTTCATCGAACACTTCGCCTGGCCTCTTACAAAACCAACAATCCAATGCAACACTTTAACTATAATTATTTGCAATTACTGATCTAATTTTCCATAAAACCCATAGAACTCGTACATAAATACCACGACTGCTTATTCTTATTCAAACTTACACATAATCACATACACTGTCCTGATTTATCTGCTCTCTTTTAACCTAGAAATATCCTCCACAATCTCAGAAATGCCCGAACTATTACTGAACAAACCCACACGAATAATTATTTATACTTCTCACCTATATCCCGTTTGATAAGACTTTTCAACTCTACGTTTCAATATTTATCTGATACAGATAATATACTGCATTTTAAATTAAACCTTCGCACTCTTATTTTAACTCAACAAAGCCCTACAAACTAAACATCTTCACATTTCTACCCTTTTTCTTCAAACTTAATCCTGCTACTATATCATATTAGCTTATGATGAGTTTATTGTTTATTCAAATTATATTTGTTTTATATACATTAGTAAAAAGCTAAATTGTATATTTGTTTTACATTATTTCAAATATTTTGTTATAGTTACTTATTATGGAAAACCACACCACCGTAACATGTGACCCTAGCTTTAACTTTTCAGTTATTTAAAAATAACTGTAGTAATTCTAAAAACCTAGAAATTTAAAAATAATTTTTGCTGGACTAAACATTACACAAAACAAATTTCAGTAGAAACTAAATGAACGCAGTAAGNATATATGTATATAATTGGACCAGATAGAACAATACCAATTAAAAAAGTTACAGTCCCTGCCTTTATAGTGTGAGTATTAACGCAAATTATACCATAAACATTTTGGTTAAACAGTTGAAATTTTAGTGCAATCCAATACAACATAAGTTCGCTTGTAGTTTTAAAAACATTTTATCATGATACTGAGAATCTTACCTCTGGATGACTAGTAAACTGCATCTTTTGAAATGAAAGCTGGTGTGTGCAGAGTTGTTAAAAAGTACTACTGCAAGCCTGATGACTTATTACAAACAGTGTACTCAAGTTCAAAAAGTTGAAGTTTAAGTCTAGTTTACAAAAGCATAGAATAATTCTGAATTCTACTTATCAACCATGTTTAGTTTCTTACACTTTTTACTGCAGTGTGCATTACTTTAAATTCTTTAAAAGAACATGGGTAATTCCAGTAAAACCTTTTCATTTTTATTTATTCGTAACAGACCTATTAACAAAAAATTTTTGTAACTTTTCTGTCTTTTGTCATACTCCATTCTGGACTGCTTGAATTGCTTTGGTTTTCCAGAAGGCTTGACGGTGGATTAAGGTGTTCACTACATTCTCTTTCTTCTGTGCATATATTAAGATTCTTACTGAGCAAAGCAAACACATAGTTCTGTGATCACTGTCATAATTTTGGCCAACGTTAGCACTGTCGAGGTTAACATTAACATTATTTATTTGCAGAATTAGAAGATATTCTGCAGCAATGCCTTTCTCATTCAGTCCTTCCGTTTTACAGCTACAAAAAAATCACACTGTTTAAAAAGGTTATTATAGAAATGACGTGCATTTGCGTAATTCAATCTGTTGACAAGGACCTGTATTCTACATTCATTTTTCGTCATGCAAGGTATGTCTCTTTAAAAAATTTATCAATTCCTTCTTGGGTGAAAACATTGTCTAATAATCGCCAAGGAAAAGTGACAGATAAAATGACATCACTATTTAATCAGTGATAAACACAAATTATTTTTAAATGACATTTAGTTAATAAAATCATAAATCTCTTAAAAAAAAAATAAATTAAAAAAAACTATAATTTGCTTGTGTGTCAGCATATAAATGTGCATACTTTCATATTTAAGATAGTTCTTGCAAGAAATACGTGCAATAACAAGAAACTGCTTGCATGTATCCATTTTTATAACTTTTTCAGATCTTTATATTCCTTCCATAATAGTATAAAGTGCTCTGTCCCTATACGATGGCGATAAGTGAAAAGTTCTCAAATAAACCTTGTGCTTCAGGCTTTAAATACACGTTTTAAATTTTTTAACCTCCAAAAAAGAAGATTATTTTAATGTCATATTATTCTTATGATACAAATAATTACGAAATTTCTTATAAACGTGTATACATGTAACAGCCCAATAAATATTTATTAAATTACTTGACTGGTTTTGTAGGTTGGCTCATAACAATGAGCCTTCTTCATTCTGTGGTTTGTATAATTCAATAATTCATGTATGTATTAGTACTATATTATACAAAGCCAAATAAAAGTTTAAATTTTTTATATACTTTATCACAAGTAATAATAAAGGATAGCTAGGCGCACCAAAAATCTTAAACTTACATATAAATAGAAATAGAACTAATAATATTTAATTGATAATCTTACTTATGGTTGTATGAATAAATAAATTATTAAAAATTACTACGCTTGAAGTCTACCTATCTGTGCCCTTGGTGGTGTGCAAAAATATATGAATATATGTTATTGAAAGTAAGTATTCGAGTATGTATGAGGTTCTAGACATAAAATAGGCTAAGTTGAAATAACGGAGAAAAAGAGGGAATTTTATCCTATTTTGTGGAGGGTGGTGTGGAGTCTATGAAGGGTTGTGAGGGGCTGTGGGTGATTTCAAGGAATTTGTGTGGAATACTCCACACAAACAATTTTATAATATATGTTGTTATACACACAGATACATTATACGATAGATTTTCAGTCATAGCTTTGATAGAAATGGAGAAGTGCTACCTGAAAAGTGGTTTGTTTAACGCCAAACAATTGCTTAATTATTTTTTTCTAATTATAATGAAGTACATATTCCTATTTAGAAGACTTATCTCAAATTAACTATTTTTGTTTCAGGAAACCTGGGATAACAATATTGTAATAAGTACGAATGTCAAACGAGCTGTTTCACGTATCAAAGATAGTCTACTATTAAAATGCAGTACAATTACAAAAAATTTTCTAAATACTGACCAAGCTAACCCACCATTATTTTCTAATAAAACTGGTTTAAATGATCCAAACTTGTTATTTGGGCTAGCTGAAAGAATTGTGTCAACAGAATCTTTGATTTTTTTAGGACACCAGTATGAGACTTTTCAATCATATTTATATTCTGTTATATCTGAACATGAAGATAAAGTGTACTTAAATATGTTTTACAACAATACGGTATTACTATCAGTGCAACTGCGGAAACCTATCTATATGGTGTCAATTTCCAAATTTTTTGATGCAAAAAAAATTTTGAGTTTAATGAGCAGAGTTAACTGGGAATTAAAAGACGTTATGTCGCTGCATAATACGTATATCGATGTGTTAATTCAGGTATAAAACAAAACTTTGCCGCATTTTTACCTACATTTCTCTACTTTTTAATATTTATTAACAGAAAATGAAAAAGTTTCAAGAAAAACTTGAAGAAATGCAGAACTGTATAGTCATAAGTGATGAAGTTCATAAAACAATATGGGAAGGTGTAGCTGAAATAATTACTCATACAATGGTCGAAGGGTACGTATTGTTATTTATCATTGTTCATTCTATTGTCCCAGATAAAAACGTTACCTTTTTATCTGATTACAAAATTTTTTCATTTTATAATCTTTATAAATGTCTTTAAGTTCTTATAGCATCCATAGTAAATATTTGTATTAATTCCAAATTTTCGTGGGTTCGATTTCCGATGAATGCAGACTTTTTCTAAAACTGTTTTCATCAGGAAAAGTTCCTATGTAACTCCGGCTGTTTCGGGGCGGATTTTTCCATGGAATTTTCCTTCAGAGTTATTCCAGGGTTTTTTTCTTGCCCCATAGGTCTTCGGGCCTGGGTGAATGCGAAACAGTGTTAGGAGGTAGGAATTAGTGGATCCGATGCGCCTGGCAGGGATCGTCGGCCTTACCGGTGAGGAGTGGTCACTGAAACATGGGGCTTCTCCGGGGATGCTAATTAGCCTGGATCTGATGCTTCGGTAGAGAGCGCCGGCTTAAACGGCGAGGAGCGGACGTCCTGAAATATGGAGTCCTCTCTGGGGAAAGACTCCACAGTGGTGAGTGGACCCGATGCACCGCTGTTGCAGAGAGTGTCAGCTTAACTGGCAAGGTGTTTTATCGGAGACACTCGCACTGTGCCCATCGATAAGGTGTAAAATCAGTAAAAGGGTTGGAAAATGGGTGCGGCAATACACCCCCATCATAAGTGGTGAGTGGATGGCTCCGGCGACTTGGCGTAAGAGCTGTCGCAGTAACCCGGTGAAAAAAAAAAAAAAAAAAAAATTGACGCATCAAAGAAATATGTATGTGTAAAAAAATCTTGAGTCATAAAAATTCTAGGTTTAATTGCTGTTTGGCAGAGTACAGCCCTCTGCCGCCCTGTCGACTGCGTCTATGTGATGTCGCTGACTTATTTCTTAGTTCAAGGAATATGTGGGAACCCGCAATACAAATTTACAAGTGAATTGTATTTAAACCCAAAAATAAGTACTAATTGTCGCGCATGTTTTAAGCAAGAATTACTGAATTGACTCGGCTTGGGATTTATATGATGAAGGAAAGGATGGTATCAGGTGAAATAAGAAAGACGCTGTTTATGAGCTACAACAAAAATATATTTGTGACTCAAAGGAGGAAACTCCGAAGAGAAAACCCCCTGGAAGAACGAACAACTGATACAAGAGAGAATGTGAAATTTTGAATGTGAGGTATAAACAACTTCCTGGTGTGAACAAGACTGTGTGTGTGTATGTATGTGTAAAGTATGTGTGAAGGATGTGTGAAGTGCGCATCCGCACTGTTCTCGCTCTTGATCATTATGACACGGTTCTGCAGACGCGGATTTTTGTCGTATTTGCTCGCAGTACGCTGATACGAAACGACTGGACACTGATAATAACGAATTAAGGATGTGAACACGCGATAGTTAACACGTGATACCCGTATGCAAACTATTCAAAGACTTAGCACGATAAAACAAAGAAAGTCCGATAAAACCAGTAAGTACTCGAGATCGCAGTGAAAACTGTAGACCGCTGTATACCAACTATAGCCTCGGAATGATCGCACCCCACCGCCTCTTCTCAATTTTTCGCATCTCCGCCGTTCGGTGCCAACCCCTCTCCCCTCTATTTACCTTGCGTCTCTCGGATGACGTCCACCAATTAGCGGGACGATACAGGACAATAGTGTGAAACAATACCGACTACACACAAACAAAAATGAACATGAAAACGAATCTTTTTCTGTGCGCTTGATGCGCTGCGAGACTCTTATCCGCTGCTCGCGTGGTGGCCCGTACGTTTTAGTCATTTTTGACCAAACAGTTGCCTAAAATACAATAAATTTTTTCAGACATGTCTTACTCAAAAAAATTTTTGATTGAGTTAAAAAAATTCTCATAGAATTTGACTTAAAATATTTGTGGCTTGATAAATTTATATGCCTTTAATACACGACAAATAAATGTTCAATGGTTATAATTTAATAACATTTAAAAGATTGATTCAAAAACTTTGCTTAGCAATTTCAGTTATTATTGTGAGTAATTCAGAAAAAAATGTATTATCATCCAAAAGATTAGTAAAAAAACAGGGTAATTACCAACGAAAATGGCAGGATAAACATGGTAAATTACTGCAAAGTAAATAAGTCTCAGTTTCCTACTCCAGCTTTTCATTCCCTAAAGCTGTGTTTTTTCGTGTAGCTTGTGATAGTAGGTTATTGTAACCGAACTAATTAAAACTTGAAAGTATAGTTGATAAATATATTCTGAACTAACATGTGCTTTATTGGTGTTTCATTAAATACCAAAAAAAAAATAATATTATAATTTCAAGCACTTTAACACTGGTCATATAAGGCAGAAATTAAAATGACCTAATAAAACTTGTTAGTAAAAACAAAAATAAATTCTTTTTCTAAGATTTACAAAAAAAAATAACTTATCAAGCCCTGCAAGTTATAAATTTCATTTTTTGTTTTAAATATAAAAATAGCTTAGCGAATGACGAGTGACTATACTGTCCCCTCTTTTTTATGTCATAAAAACTATTAACGTATATATTTGTCTGATTGAATCTTAAGGAAAATAATAGCTGGAGCCTATAGATATAATTTTAGAGAAACTTCTATTCGAAATTTGTTTTAAATTTTGTTAAATAAATGCATTTGTTCCGTACACAAATGTAAGACTTGTTTATTGAATCAGTGTTTCATCGCATACTGATTGTTTTTTTTGTTTTTCTTGACAGAAACACAAGTTGATATGATAAATGTTTTCTTTTTAGATTCTTAAAAATTGTGAATGGGTTTCTTGGACATTCATTGTTTTACGAATTTTTATTAATAAAAATTCCTCGACCATGTTGTGAAAACCTATCACTACCATAGGTGATTTGAATACTTTCTTACTGTAGGCGCAATGGCTTAGCGCTTAAAAGTTATTTCATGTCCACATATTTTGTAAGTTATACTTTAACAATCATGCCATACGCAAAATTGTATCAACGATTTCCGAGTTCTGACCTTGAGGAAAAATGTGATGGAAGTGGATGCATATTACTAGATTTTGCATAATACTTCCTTTCGCCCGCCGCCTTTGGCATACTGCCCCGCGCTGGCCCCTTTCACACCACAGCATAGCACATACTTTAATTTTTATGAAATTTTATTGAATTAGATCTCTTATTTTTGAATCTACTTTCTCTTTCTAAAAAAAATTTAAAAAAACACTGTCCACAACACTTGAATCTGTTATCTCCTGCACACAAACTCCAACCCTTACCCATAATGGGACATTAAAAACTTTAATTACTTTTTGTTATGGTACATTTCGTAACTTATTTAAACTGTGAATATTCGTTTACTATTTCTTAATTCATTTGGTTTAATTCATAGATAAACTATTTATTTAAGAAAATTAATTCTTTATTTAAATGACTTTTTCAAAAACTTAGATATTTTTATATTTAAGCTGAGTTACTTTTCTGTGTATTGATAAATATTGACTTATTTATTATTATTTTGTTACTTTTACAGTACATGAATAGTTTCTTATAAAATTCTTTTATTGTTCTTCAAAATTTTCAAAAATTAAAAGAAAATTTTTTTGTATTCTATAGATGTAATAACTGTGTTATTGAAAAAAACACCTTCTAAATCTACTTAAAAATTGAATAGGTTTATCCAAGAGTAATATTTCGCACACAAAAAATAGGAGATTTTTACAGATCATATAAATGCAACTTTACGTGGTTTTTCTATAAGACTACTGAAGCTCAGACCCCAGCGTTTCAATCAGAACCAAATGCCGAGTAATACTGCTCATATAAGAAATACTGCAAAGAAATCGAAACCATTTACATCGGCCCACGTCAAGGACTTGAAGTAGACGACAAGTATGGAATTACGTATCCTTAAGAGTAAGAATTAGTATATAACTTTCATGTTTAATAATGGAGCTGTGATGAACTTGGTAAAAATAAGCTAACTACATCAGGAACTCTTCCAGTTGAGTTAAATGATGTAATAACTTTGACGGGAATAACACCTTACCCTGTTTTGACAACGGGTAAAGTGATTATAACAAAAAAAGAAAGCCTAAAATTTTTATTGTCCCTAATATTTTTTCTACTAAGGATGGAAGATTAGTCTGTTTCAAATTATGTAAGAACCAACGGTCCACACTATCATACTATCACGATGCTATAGTATTAGATCATAATGGTAATGATGATGATGACGATGATGATGATAATGATAACTATTAATCCTCTTTTGTTTCTTAAGACATCTGAGAAGTTAACACAAAAAAAAAGAAAAAGACCAAGCTCTGCAAGAGCTCAAAAAACAAGCTTGAAAACTCTATATTTAATTCAAATAAAATGTTTAATCATTATAAATCAAAACAACAAATTTGGATGGTAAACAAACAGCAGAGCTGCTACAAGAATTAAATATACTCAGACACGAAAAATTTAGAGATATGCAAGTGGATATATAGTTCTAAGATGAGTATTATAGATTTATTTTGACTGAAAGAGGAGATAGTCGTAATACCTTTATTGCCTTAGGATAAGAAGTATTGAAAATTTATTTATATACTTTATTTTTTCCTGACAATACAACAACGAATTCTAGCTCGTTAAAAGTAAATTTTTTTAATTATTAGCCTTAATATCATATGCTAGTAATTCGAATGCAGAAGTCGTCAAAATAAAACCAATAGCTCAAGAAATGAGAAAATGACACTGTTGACAGTCAGAGGCATAATTAACCTGTGGCATTATTAAAAATATGTATGTTCTCTGAGAATGCTCCGAGTTAAATTGGAAAATCTTCTTCGAAAAATACACTATGACCAGTGTATGACCAATAAAAATCAATGATGGAAGGTCTGAGCTATAATTACATAAATATTTTTAAAAATGTTTATGTGCACGGATCAACTAATTTTTTCTTTTTTTTCTGTAAACTTATTAGATTATGAAGTCCACGCAACTCTTAAAGCTTAAATCACTG